ATGCTGGTTACGTGGTCATGAAGACACTGGATGCTATACAGAGACCGATGCTGGTTACCTGGTCATGAAGACACTTGATGTTATACAGAGACCGATGCTGGTTACGTGGTCATGAAGACACTGGATGCTATACAGAGACCGATGCTGGTTACCTGGTCATGAAGACACTGGATGCTATACAGAGACCGATGCTGGTTACCTGGTCATGAAGACACTGGATGCTATACAGAGACCGATGCTGGTTACCTGGTCATGAAGACACTGGATGCTATACAGAGACCGATGCTGGTTACCTGGTCATGAAGACACTTGATGTTATACAGAGACCGATGCTGGTTACCTGGTCATGAAGACACTGGCGGCTATACAGAGACCGATGCTGGTTACCTGGTCATGAAGACACTTGATGTTATACAGAGACCGATGCTGGTTACCTGGTCATGGAGACACTGGGTGCTATACAGAGACCGATGCTGGTTACCTGGTCAAGAAGACACTGGATGCTAATACAGAGACCGATGCTGGTTACGAAGACACTGGATGCTATACAGAGACCGATGCTGGTTACCTGGTCATGAAGACACTGGATGCTATGCAGAGACCGATGCTGGTTACGAAGACACTGGATGCTATACAGAAACCGATGCTGGTTACCTGGTCATGAAGACACTGGATGCTATGCAGAGACCGATGCTGGTTACCTGGTCATGAAGACACTGGATGCTATACAGAGACCGATGCTGGTTACCTGGTCATGAAGACACTGGATGCTATACAGAGACCGATGCTGGTTACCTGGTCATGAAGACACTGGATGCTATACAGAGACCGATGCTGGTTACGAAGACACTGGATGCTATACAGAGACCGATGCTGGTTACCTGGTCATGAAGACACTGGATGCTAATACAGAGACCGATGCTGGTTACGAAGACACTGGATGCTATACAGAGACCGATGCTGGTTACCTGGTCATGAAGACACTGGATGCTATGCAGAGACCGATGCTGGTTACGAAGACACTGGATGCTATACAGAGACCGATGCTGGTTACCTGGTCATGAAGACACTGGATGTTATACAGAGACCGATGCTGGTAACAGAGACCGATGCTGGTTACGAAGACACTGGATGCTATACAGAGACCGATGCTGGTTACCTGGTCATGAAGACACTGGATGCTAATACAGAGACCGATGCTGGTTACCTGGTCATGAAGACACTGGATGCCATACAGAGACCGATGCTGGTTACCTGCTCATGGAGACACTGGGTGCTATACAGAGACCGATGCTGGTTACCTGGTCATGAAGACACTGGATGCTAATACAGAGACCGATGCTGGTTACCTGGTCATGGAGACACTGGATGCTATACAGAGACCGATGCTGGTTACCTGGTCATGAAGACACTGGATGCTATAGAGAGACCGATGCTGGTTACCTGGTCATGAAGACACTGGATGCTATACAGAGACCGATGCTGGTTACCTGGTCATGAAGACACTGGATGCTATACAGAGACCGATGCTGGTTACCTGGTGATGGAGACACTGGATGCTATACAAAGACCGATGCTGGTTACCTGGTCATGAAGACACTGGATGCTAATACAGAGACCGATGCTGGTTACCTGGTCATGAAGACACTGGATGCTATACAGAAACCGATGCTGGTTACCTGGTCATGAAGACACTGGATGCTATACAGAGACCGATGCTGGTTACCTGGTCATGAAGACACTGGATGCTATAGAGAGACCGATGCTGGTTACCTGGTCATGAAGACACTGGATGCTATACAGAAACCGATGCTGGTTACCTGCTCATGAAGACACTGGATGCTATACAGAGACCGATGCTGGTTACCTGGTCATGAAGACACTGGATGCTATAGAGACCGATGCTGGTTACCTGGTCATGAAGACACTGGATGCTATACAGAAACCGATGCTGGTTACCTGGTCATGAAGACACTGGATGCTATACAGAGACCGATGCTGGTTACGTGGTCATGAAGACACTGGATGCTATACAGAGACCGATGCTGGTTACCTGGTCATGAAGACACTTGATGTTATACAGAGACCGATGCTGGTTACGTGGTCATGAAGACACTGGATGCTATACAGAGACCGATGCTGGTTACCTGGTCATGAAGACACTGGATGTTATACAGAGACCGATGCTGGTTACCTGGTCATGAAGACACTGGATGCTATACAGAGACCGATGCTGGTTACCTGGTCATGAAGACACTGGATGCTATACAGAGACCGATGCTGGTTACCTGGTCATGAAGACACTTGATGTTGTACAGAGACCGATGCTGGTTACCTGGTCATGAAGACACTGGCGGCTATACAGAGACCGATGCTGGTTACCTGGTCATGAAGACACTGGATGCTATACAGAGACCGATGCTGGTTACCTGGTCATGGAGACACTGGAGGCTATACAGAGACCGATGCTGGTTACCTGGTCATGAAGACACTGGATGCTATACAGAGACCGATGCTGCAGCTATACAGCTCTTGATAAATCCTTACTGCTGATCCTGTATGGTGATTTCAAACCCACAGGAAGGGAGGACGAACTGACGTGGCAGATGTTGACACCACAGGTCGATCTTACCTTACCAAACTAACCAAATTAAACAACAGAACCATTCCAAAAACTTCATCGTGTTTACAGATTCATTATCTTGCCTTCATGTCACTTAAAGTCACCCTATCATCCTAGACATTTTGAACGTTACAACGATCTTTCTACTGGCCAATGTGACATCATCCTCTGCTGGTTGCCGGGTCACGTCGGCACAGCAGGTAACACAAAAGCCGATGCTGCAGCAAAAGCAGCTCTTGACATGCCCTTATCATGCACAAAGTAGGGAGAAATAAACTTCAGGAATCGAAACCAACAATCGGTTATACTTACTTGGGTCTTAAGTGAGTGAGTGAGTTAAAAGTTTACTTAGCATCGGCAATATTACATGATGAGGTAATTTTTCGATGATGTATTGGCCACAGTCGGTTTAGCCTGACTTTCTGCTTAAAGCAGATGGAGATGAACCTGCTAAGTCTATCTCTTGTGATGAGGCGTCCAACATCAACCACTTTCTGCTTAAAGCAGATGGAGATGAACCTGCTAAGTCTATCTCTTGTGATGAGGCGTCCAACATCAATCACTTTCTGCATAAAGCAGATGGAGATGAACCTACTAAGTCTATCTCTTGTGATGAGGCGTCCAACATCAACCACTTTCTGCTTAAAGCAGATGGAGATGAACCTGCTAAGTCTATCTCTTGTGATGAGGCGTCCAACATCAACCACTTTCTGCTTAAAGCAGATGGAGATGAACCTGCTAAGTCTCTCTCTTGTGATGAGGCGTCCAACATCAACCACTTTCTGCAAAAAGCAGATGGAGATGAACCTACTAAGTCTATCTCTTGTGATGAGGCGTCCAACATCAACCACTTTCTGCTTAAAGCAGATGGAGATGAACCTGCTAAGTCTATCTCTTGTGATGAGGCGTCCAACATCAACCACTTTCTGCTTGACTGTGTGGACGTTTCAACACCAACAGATTCACATTATGACGCAGTAAATCTGGAAGATATGTTTAACATCGTGAGCGGGCATCTCCAAGTGAGCTACTTGATAGAGATGGGTCTCTATCATAAGTTGTAACTACATATGTGTGTGGCAAGTTGGCTGTTTTTAAAGTTTTAACGTTGGCGTTGCAAACTAGCTGTTTTTTTAACTTGGTGGTTGACGTTTTCTGTTTGTAAATAATATTGTAATAAAGAAATATGTGTTTTAAGAAAACCCTTTAAGCTTAATAAACACTTTGCACTTACAATTGACATGTGTATATGTGCAGACTTGGTTTCGTCGCTGTATAGCTTAAATAGTGCCGATGCCACATAAAATACTAATTCGTTATCACAATCACTATTATCAACGTTGCAGACAACAAACCACAGAATACTGGTGGGGACATTCATCACATCGCCTGTGTACAACGCTGGCGACTGGAGGCGACGTGTATCGCCGGTCCGTGGTTGGAATGTCCACCAGATCCAAATAGGAACAGAATCAGAGGTAAGTGTTGAGTTTGACCATTCATATGATCCAATCAGGATCAGAATTAGATATGAAGTATCGTTTGATGCGTCTACTACAGTATCATCCAGGGTCCAAAGTCACAAGCGTGGAAAATAAAAAAGTTATTATTAGTATTATTAGTAAAATGAAAAGTCAAGCATATGGAGTCAGAAGTTTTGTTTGTATTTTGAATGGTATCTTCAAGTAGTCAATTCATTTGGACCAGGGATATTAAAGATTTGAAAACAAAGTTAAACAATAAGTCCTCGTGAAACAATAAGTCATTGATATGTCCATGAAATGCCAAATGATGAAAGAATGAATGTTCTTAATATGCTTTAAATTATATTTCGTAATGCTAAGTATAATAAGTATATAAAGAAAAACTCTTCATTGCTTTGATAATGTTTTAAATTTTCGAGTCTTTACAGTTACTTCAAAATATTTTCTCATAATTTAATTTATATACTCGGCAGTTGTAAGTCTAATTATAGACACACACAAATGTGGAAATAAATAAATATTAAAATGAATAAAGAAAAATATAATAACAATAGTTCTGATTTTTAATTTAACCCGATATTGAAGAAAATATAGTTTGAAGCAACAATGAAATAATATTGACATGTCACCTTTAAAATAGTGTGAAAATAATCACATTACCGAATTTAAGAAAATACAATTAAAGTAGCAAAGTAGATAATGAAAAATATAGAAAAAAGCTGATATAATGAAATTTATTATGCTACCAAAATGGCGCCATTTGGCTTCCCTATTGTGCTGCATTGGTAGTTCTATAATTGGTTCTTCAAACTGTCATGCATGAATACCAGTAGGATGGCAGCTGTGATGGTTTCTCTCTGTGACTGAGTTCCATGTTCTACTTTCAGCTGAAGCAAAGGGATACACGACTTTCCCAGTGGAAGGGGGGCGAAATTCATCTGAAGAGATACAATGTACCACGTACCTGGGACAAAGCCTTGAAGATGTGCAGGTCTGACGGCGCCACGCTCGTCAAGATAGACACTGCGGAGAAACAGACCATCGTCAGAGGCTTGTTCAACGACACGGACTACAAGAACGAGAGTAGGTGTCTCTGCAGGATAACGTACACAGACATGTTTGAGACTTAGCAATTGGACTTGTTCACTCAAAGCTGCTACCATATGAACAATCTCTTCAGACTGTATCAAAACCATAGGAAGACGTTGACGTCTTCTATCACACAACAGAGCGATGTCTCGTCAGTCACACCCTGCCATCCACGTATGTTCTACCCCTTCACACCCTACCCATACAGTTACATGTTGCTCCTCTACCCCTGGCCTTTTACTCTACACACGCACACACACAGAATGCTTAGAATGAACCTTCAGTAAACCATGCTCGTAGTAAGAGGCGATTAACGGGATGTGGTGGTCAGGCTCGCTGGCTTGGTTGACACGTCATCTATTCCCAATTGCACAGGTCGATGCTCATGATGTTGATCACTGGATTGTCTAGTCCAGACTCGATTATTTACAGACCACCGCCATACAGCTGCAATATTGCTGAGTGCGGCGTAAAACTAAACTCACTCACTCACTCACACAGTTACACTCACCCACTTCATCTTCAGCCAGTGCATCGTCCTGTCAGTCACAGTATTCCGTCCGTCAGTAACACTTTACCCAGCCAAAGCCACCTGCAAATCTCAACCCTCTATCTGCAATTGTAGGCAGTGGTTACTTGTAACCTATAACTTGTAACTTGTGGTTAATTGTAGGCTCGTTACAATAGTAAGACCAGGAATCAACGCCTACGTGTCCTGGGCACAGCGTTTGTACTTTCTATGTTTCTCAATACCAGACCGACCCTTCTAATTCTATTTCCCTTGTGCATTCTCGGTCATGGCCTGTTTTTGAAGCCTCACCGTTGTTGCAGCGAGGTGTATTGTCATGATTGTTTATGTACAGATTCCCGAATCAATACCTCCTGGTTCTGTTTCAGTCAATCCCTGGATTGGACTCCGAGACACGACAAGGTCCAACGTCTACAGTTGGACTGATGGGTCAAACGCGACGTACACGAACTGGCGGAAGGGGGAACCTAACTTTCAATATCATAAAAGGGATGAGGACTGTGTTCAATTGATTTTATTTATGATGGGGTTACGATGGAACGACATCTTTTGTGGTACTCTGAGGGGGTTTATTTGTGAGATATGATCTGAAATACTCACCAAAGAAAGTGTTGACATGCTGCGACAGCTGCTTATTTAACCATCGTCCATCAGTAAAATGACTCACATGGATTAAACTGTTCTCTTCCTGCCGACAGGATGTCAAAGATAAAACATAGTCTTACTGAAGATAGAACCCTTATCAACTCACTCTCTCTATCAACCACTGGTTTGTCGAAGCTAGATTAAAGTGCTGATATTGTTCCTGTTAGATGAAGATAGAAGGTCTCTTCCTGTTCCTGATTTGATGAAGATAGAAGGTCTCTTCCTGCCGACAGGGTGTCAAAGATAAAACATAGTCTTACTGAAGATAGAACCCTTATCAACTCACTCTCTCTATCAACCACTGGTTTGTCGAAGCTAGATTAAAGTGCTGATATTGTTCCTGTTTGATGAAGATAGAAGGTCTCTTCCTGCCGACAGGGTGTCAAAGATAAAACAGTCTTACTGAAGATAGAACCCTTATCAACTCACTCTCTCTATCAACCACTGGTTTGTCGAAGCTAGATTAAACTGCTGATATTGTTCCTGTTTGATGAAGATAGAAGGTCTCTTCCTGCCGACAGGGTGTCAAAGATAAAACATAGTCTTACTGAAGATAGAACCCTTATCAACTCACTCTCTCTATCAACCACTGGTTTGTTGAAGCTAGATTAAACTGCTGATATTGTTCCTATTAGATGAAGATACAAGGCCACTTCCTGCCGACAGGGTGTCAAAGATAAAACACAGTCTTACTGAAGTTAGGTTATAGTTATGTTAGAGAGCACCGTGGTATTGTTACCTTTTATGTAGGTAAAAGGTCACTTCTTCCCTACATGGTGTTCTGAGCCGTGAGTGCCATCTTGTAACCTCGGCTATATGTCTCCTATCTATCTATCCATCTATGTATCTATGTATCTCTATCTATGTATCTCTCTCTATCTATCTATGTATCTATGTATCTCTCTATCTATCATGCTGTGTCTGACAATTTGTTTTTAATACGTTTACAATCAGTTGTCATGTTCTCGTACATTGTTGTTTGTAGTACATTGCTTTATATGAATATGGAAGGCGTTTAATGCGTTCTTTAATGTGTTACTTGGCGAAATAATGTATTTGAAAAGAAATTAAACACTGGTAGATTTTTTTACAGTGTGTAAACACGACAGCAGTTACCAATTTGTGCCAATATGATACCCAACTTCATAACTCACAGACTTTAGTAATGCGGCCCTTATACCATATTTCCATGATATGGGGACTTGACCATTAGCAGAACATAATGTGAAATGTTTAAGCAGTGAAACAATAACAAAACCACTGCTTCAGCGGGGACATAATTTACCGGGGCGACTTTTATCACATTGGGAATAGTCTTTGTGTATACTATCAATAATCAGAACATGCTGTCACTATTAAAAACTGGAATCCACAAATGTAGTTTCCGTTTATCTAGATTTGCCTGTTAAAAGGCCACATGCTCTTCTTCTGGAAGGTGAACATCTAAATGTTCATTTGAAAGGTTAATATAAACTGTAGATACTGACCAGATTTCTAAACAGACTGATGATATATCAAACGGATTTGAAGGTCAAATATTTCTCACATATTCGAAATGAAAACAAACAAAAAACTGAGTTTTCATCATGTTCTCCAATGAAAACACGACAGAGAGGTGTCAAACAGGCAGAAAGGAAGGGGTATAACTCCGCCATCCTTCAAACTGAGCCGTGTATGTGTGGCGGTAACACTGTTAAGATAAGTAATAAAATTTAATAGATTACCCTATCTGAGACTTCAATTCAGACGGACCATATCATTGCATTCACCTGTATGTCTAATTAATCTGTCTTGCTTGGGAAATATTGCAAGCTCTAGTCTTATGTTCTAGTGTAAAGACAATGCCAAAATATTTAAATTCTGAAACGCACACGAAATTTGTTTATTCAGTGTTAAAGTGAGGATCGATGGGCATGGGCGTACTTGTCCTGTGGTATTCTGGGGTTGGAGGGGCGTTGGGGTAAGGATGTGTGTGTGGGAGGGAGGGGGACTAGTAGGGGGAAGGAAAATTATACAGAAAATACAAGATAGCAACATTAACAAAGCTGGTTGAAATTGTTCGTGTGAATAAGAAGGGGCACAATTGCAGTCTTATGAACTTATGTAAAGATATGCAGCTTGTATACAGGATATATATTTTTATACATATCTATTTAGAGAGCAATTGTTCGTTCAAACAACCTGTAGCTTACATGTGTTTACGGATACAATACACCGACCTGGCAGTACCTAGTGGCAAAACATAGGACTTTCAAAACCAGACACCTAGCATCTGATCTTTGAAATGATCTTATTTACAGAAAATAATAACAGTTTCTCAACCATATCAATAAATAAAATAAAAAGCTATGTTTTTCCTTTTCATAGGCTGTGATGATCTAGACTTGCCACATCTTGTAGACTTCCCTGGGCTGCATCTTGTGTAGACTTCACAAATGGGCTGCATTGGGTATGTCTGTTTCAGGGTGTGTATGACAGACTTATCACAAATCTCAAAGGCATTGCACGGAAAGTGTGTGGCAGTTCATGTTCGCGCGGTTATTTCTTTTTTTATGTAACTGGAATGTGTTCGTAACATATTTTTTTGAAACGTTTTATATACTACCAAGTATAATATTACTTTCGCAGTGTATATCCCACACGGCTATCCCACCTGAAGACCTATATAGACAGACCCCCCAAATCCAGTGTATCAAAAGGAAGCGGCACTATTTAGAATACAATTGAGCCACGAGGACCTACAGACTTTAGAAGCTGCTTGCCCTGACCAAACTCTCCAAGAACTCATTTAAAATACAACAACAGGACCATGGCTTATCAAGGGAAATACAACATGAAATGTTCTTGCCACGGCCACCGGGCAAGCGATTTAAGGTGATGGAAATGATCAGGTGATTTATGTTATCATCTGATGCCATACAAACACATGAATGCCACCAGAAAATTCAGCCATTAGTCCATTTTCGTAGAACGTATGGATTGACTTGGCCATAAATGTAGTTTATAAAATAGCATAGTTTTGTCTAAACACTTTTTATAGATGTTCTAAATATATTTCTTAATGTATTTTTTTAGTCATACATGTACAGTAGTAAATATATATACATGTTGGACACATACGTTTAGATCAATGTTTTGATTAGGATATCCAAGTAGAAATATGATTTCAATTATTTTGTTTGTACTGACATCCATGTTCATATCACATTTTGAATTTTTCTATAAACGATTTAACTTTAATACTGTGGAAAAATAGTGCTCAACAGGCAAGGAAGAACAAGTACAATATTTTAACGTTTTTTGGTATGACGCGGCAGGGGATCGAACCTGGGACCTTCCACTCACCGGGCGGACGCGCTAACCACTAGACCATGGATGCAGTTTGCATGAAAGAAGAAAGGTAGCGATTGATAACTGGTTTGATCCATGAACTCTTTCAGTACACACAATCTTGTTGGTTATGGTGAAGAACACTCACTCATTATATCAACCACTGGATTGTTTGAACAAGGTTCTGTTGCAGAGCATCGCCTATATCAATGATGACTCTGGCAGAAACACTCACTCACTCACTCACTCGACTCGACCACTAGATTGTTTGTATATGGTATAAGGCAGGAAAACACTCACTCACTCACTCGATTGAAGACTGGAGTTAAGCTTCTGTTACAGAGCACTACCAATAACATGGCTGACCAGGTTGAAAACAACACTCACTCACTCATTCGGCCTTGGATTGTTTATGCACGTTTTCGTGTTAATAATATTATGATGTATATTCCACATAAGCCTACATATGTGGGGGGTCATCTTATAAGAAGGTCAGGTAAATTCCTTCTCATACACTGCACTGTAATGTACCAAGTTTTCTACAAGGTTTGGGGCTGTGGGGTAGCCTAGTGGTTAAAGCGTTGGCTCGTCACGCCGAAGACCCGGGTTCGATTCCTCACACAGGCACAAAATGTGAAGCCCATGTCTTGTGGCCCCCGCCATGATATTTCTGGAATATTGCTAAAAGCGGTGTAAAACTTAACTCAGTCAGTCAGTCTACAAGGTTTAAAATAGATATCTATGATTGTGTAGCCCAGCTGTTTCAGGTGAATACTAATCAATATGTGTGTTCATCTGAGTATCAGTTTGTGTTCTAATACACATATGTAATATACACATATGAATAACGTTGCTTTAAGGCAGTATATTTAGTAAAAAAAACACTTATACAGACTCATGCGATGTCTTTTCAACCATCCTGATTATTTTAATGATAGTTGGTTAAACAATAATGTACGTGGACATTTATTGTGCGCATTTTTGACACGACACGATTCAATTACCGAGCTGCTGGATATTCTGACCAAATAGCTTGTACAATACTCATCAATATTCCATCTAAATACATGCTGTACATAATGGACCAGGCAATCAAGTGATCTACTGCATGAACATCGGTCTGTTCAATTGGGATAAGATAGCATTCAATTTTGAAGAAATTTAAAGGACCATTATTATACATATGATGTACCTCTGTTTAGAAACGCTCTGTTAAGTTAGAGGTTGGTTTTTCCGATCCTCTCTATATACTTTAATTTTGAAACAATTTGTAAGATATAGAGAGCTTTCTGGGATTTGTTCTTTGAGTATGTCATATGAGGCCGAAAAGTAAAATGATGAAGGAAAATATTACCCATGAATTTGGCTTCCTTTACAATTGTAACAGGACCGTCTAACATTAATGTCGGAAAATACTTAGCAGTGACTATTTTTCAATCTGCTTGAGTATTTTAATTAAACTTGCACCATCGTTTAGGATATGCAATATTCTACATTTCTGTGTAATTTCAAAGACGTAGGTAAATCCAGTGGCGCACGAGTGCAATTCTCGAACAAAGGTCACTTTTCAGAGGGTACAGATATATACTGTTCAAAGCAAAAAGTAAAAAAGTAAAGGATCGGGTCTATTCCCGACCTATAATATATATAATAAGGACACTGATTGGAAGTATGTCCAGGCGTTGCCAGACAGTTCCAAGAGGACAC